TTTGCCCCATGGGGGCAGCCGGGGGGACGCGTGGCTGAGGGGGAGCATCACAAGCCACACGCTCACTGCAGGGCTGGATAGGGACCCGTGGGGGGAAGATCAGTCTTCTCTAAGCCCTGGGAAAGTGCTGCCATGTGGTCAGGGCTCCTTGCAAAGTCCCCTCAGCCCAGTACGTGGCAGAAAGTGACAGATTGGAGCCGACTTGAAGCCAAACGTGGGCAGACAGGTCACACAGTGATGGTCTGCAGTCTCACACCACAAGGCTGGTGCTCAGGGCCACTGCAAAGCCCCAGTGCTTCAGGGGCTTCAGCCATACCCAGGGCTGGACTCAGCCACCAGCCTCCCCCGGGTGCTGCCTGTGGCCACAGGGAAGAACAGCTTGGGTTACAGCCCCTAGCACCTCCTCCATGCCCGTGCCACGCTGCTAATCAATAAATGATGGACCGGCAGCACCTTATCTCCTATTGATTTCCTCCCAGGATGTGGCCAGTCTGTTTGCTCACACCTGGCTGGCATTTGGTTTTCAGCTGAAGAACTGCCAAGCCTGCCAAGCCCCCAGCAGTGTGCCTGTGCCAGCAAAAGTCTCGTTGGCATCCCAAGTGGCCAGGGTCAGATGGCCCTATGTGGCACCCACCATTGGCATGCAATGACTGAGCCATGGGGACTCAGAGCAGGGGCTGTGCAGACACGTGTGCATGCACGCAGCCCCCACTGCATCAGGGAGCAACACAGGGGGAGGTCCACCAGGTTGGCAGCAAACATACTGGGGCTATTGATGCCACATCAATCCTGCAGCCCCGACAGGTGAATGGGCTCTCACTCACACCGTTAAGATAAATGATATTTATTTGCTGCTAACAGGTTCCAACAAGAGGCCCCAATGAGTGACTTTTGAACTAGCACTTCTTGCTGCCAGTGCACGCCCAAACTGGGGAAAACCCTGGGAAATGTCCCCAGGGCTGCCCCACTCCTGTAGGCTCTTCCTGCCCCACACACAGCACCACAGCCACAGCCCCTTCCCCTGCCTAGCACGCAGACCCTGCCCCACACGTGCTTCCCCAGCCCAGCCTCATGAGGACACCCTGGACCGCACACCCGCGAAGCAAGTGCTGGGACTTGGCTGGGACCTTTATTTCATCAATGCCAACAGGACGGCCATGCCTGGCGCTGACCATGAGTGCTGCTCCCAGCACTCCCAGAGCATGAGCCATGCACGATCCCTGGGCAGGAACCACCGGGCTGGGGGTGGCAGCACAGCTGGGCATCTGCTGGGGGGTCACCCCCCCGGGCAGGAAGCAGGTGGCTGGGCCAGACACTCCATGGCCCAGAGGGGCAGGTTGTTCTGGCACTCAGCCGCTGTGCGTGCCCAAGCCCAGCACCGAGAAGGCTGCACGGTGCTTCCTCAGCAGCAGCCGGATCTTCTCGTCATCTGAGTCGGGGTCCAGGGGCTTGTTGTACTCGTCGTCCTCGGTCTCAGAGGCTGCCCGCTCTCCACCAGAGCCCCCCGCCCGCTGTGAGGACGAGGAGGGCTCCAGGGCACTCTTCTTCCTCCATTTGGTCCGTCGGTTCTGGAACCAGACCTGCCGCCCCATGGGACCGGCTTTGTTTTGTTACCCGCCGCCACACCACACACCCCGTACTGCTGAGGGACCCACACTCACCTTCACCTGGGACTCAGTCATGCCAAGGGAATAGGCCAGCCGTGCTCTCTCTGGACCCGCCAGGTACTTGGTCTGCTCAAAAGTCTTCTCCAGAGCAAATATCTGGTGCCCTGTGAAGGTTGGACGCGTGTGCTTCTTCTTGTGGATGCTGTCGGCCAGGTGAGCAGGGGCTGTGGGAAAGGAGAAGGGAGGTGGGTGAGCACCTGGGCTCTCTGCAGTGTGCGGCTCGGGGCAGCTCTCTCTTTCCTGAGCATGGCACCAGCACCCCCACCAGCCCTCAGCACCCACAGAGTCCCTCCGCACTGGCTCCCCTCCAAATTAAAGCTGTATTCTGCCTTCAAGGCTTTAGCCCCATCCTCTGTGGGGGCCTCACGGAGCCGGAGCGGGGCTGTGCACCTGCTGCTGGCGGACAGCACTGAGTTGTTGTGCTGAGAGAAGAGTCATCAGCAGCAGTGCGCGACCCCAGAGCCATGCAGCACTGGCAACACTTTGCCCCCATGCCCCACACCTTGCAGGATGCATGGCGGGAAGGCAGACAGAGCTGGCT